CACACACACACAGTTAGAACTAATAAATGAATTCATTAAAGTTGCAGGATACAAAATTAACACACCAAAATCAGTTGCATCTCTACACACTAACAATGAACAATCCTAAATGGAATTTTAAAAAATTCCATTTATAAAACCATCAAAAAGAAAAAAAAATGCTTAGAAATAGGCCTAACCAAGATGAAAAAACTACAATGAAAATAGGCCTAACCAAGATGAAAAAAACTACACTGAAAACTACAAAACACTGTTAAAAGAAATAAAAGACACAAACAAATGGAAAAAATATCCTATGTTCACGGAGTGGAAGGTTTAATATTGTTAAGATGCTCATACTACCCAAAGTGACAGATTTAAACACAATCCCTATAAAAATCTCAATAGCCTTTCTTGTAGAAAAAGAAAAATTTATCCTAAAATTCATATGGAATCTCAACAGACACCAAACAGCCAAAACAGTCTTGAAAAAGAAGAGCAAAGTTGAAAGACTCATACCTCCTGATTTCAAAACATATTTCAAAGCTACAGTAATCAAAACATCATGGTAATGGCATATGGACAGACAAATAGAGCAATGGAAAAGAACAGAATGCTGAGAAATAAACCCTTGTGTATACAGTCAAATGATTTTCAACAAAGATGCCAAGACCTCTTGATGGGAAAAAGACAATTTCTTCAGAAAACAGTGCTGGGAAAACTGGATATTCACAGGCAAAAGAATGAAGTTGGACCCTTATCCTATACAAAAATTAATTCAATATGGGTTAAAGACCTAAACATAAGACCCAAAACTATAACACTCCTAGAAGAAAACATGAGAAAAAAAGCTACATGATATTGAATCTGACAATGATTTATTGGCTATGACGCCAAAAGCACAAACATAAAAATGAAAATAGAGAAATGGGTCGATAGCAAACCTTAAAACTTTGTGCATCAAAGGTCACAATGAGTGAAAAGGCAACGTACAGAACTGAAGAAAACATCTGCAAGTTACATATCTGATAAGGGGTCAATATCCAGAATATATAAAGAACTCCTACATCTCCACAACAATAAATTAAATAACCTGATTTAAAGATAGGCAAAGGACCTGAACAGACATTTCTCCAAAGAAGGTATACAAGTGGCCAATAAGTCCATGAAAACATGCTCACCGCAGATAAACAAAAAGCAGCATAAAAATACAACAGAATATTACTGTAGTCCAGCCCTAAAAAGGATGGAAATCCAGTCATGTGCCACAACCTTAAGGTCATTATACTAACTGAAAGAAGCCCACCACAAAAAGACAAAAACTGCATGATTTCACTCATATGAGGTATCTAAAGTAGTCAAATTCATAAAAACAGAAAGTAGAATGGTGGTCACCAGGGCTGGAGGAAGGGGGAAATGAAGCCTTGTTGCTCAATGGGTATAGATTTGCAAGATGAAAAAGTTCTACAGATCAATTAGATCAATTTCACAACAATGTGAATATACTTAACAGTGTTGAACTATTCACTTAAAAGTGATTAAGATCAACAACAGCAACAACGAAAAGAACAACAACAAAAAAATGGTACAGATTAGTCAATTTTTTTTTTTGCCACAGTAAAAAAGGCATAATTGAGATACTCAGGAAGAACTAAACACTAACTCTTTACAGTTCGTTGCATCTGAATCCTGTACTCGCCTATAACAGATACAGCTACTCAGATGATGGAAAGAGCACTTCTTTAAAGAGGTCAAAAATCTGCCTACTAGCCCCAGATCTCCTAACTAGCCATTAGACGACATTCAAGAATCACTGGTAATTTCATTGGATATGATAATGACTTATAGATACGCTTTTTGAAAAAGGATTCATACTGAAGTAATTTTGGGGTAACACTATGTTTTCTAAGATTTATGTTAATATACTCCAGCCAAAAAATAAAAAGTACAGGTGGGGCAGGGGTAGCTGAGAAAGGATGGCAGAATGGTCTCATCATCCTTGTTGAAGCTCGGAGACAGGTACATCTATGAAAAATTTAAAATCAACCAAACCAAAGAGGGAAAAAAGGCAAGGATGGGTATTTGGAATGAATGGCAGCAGGATTAATTTACTGATATTTTGTAACAGCATCATATACTACAGATGCTATTGCTAATCTTCAAAAAGCATTGTCTTTCAATTTGCGTCTAACAGATTACAAATAAACAAACAAATGAAACTGAAAGAATGATCAAGCTTCAAGTAATGTTTCTCACCATTTCCCCCAACTACAAACAAAAAAAAAAGGTCAATGGTTGAAGAATGTTGAACAGACTGACTAAAGGTGTCATGGAGAGCTGCCCACCAGGGCCAGAATCTGGACAGTGATGGATAAATTTCTGCTGAAAAACTGTTCACCAAGTCAGGGAATACAGCCCAGATAGGAGAGGGTGTTGAAGATGTTTCTCAGATACACAGGATAGACCTGTTTTCTTTCTGTTAACAGAAAGCAATCAGTTAAGCGAGGACTTTGGAGTGGATGAAGGGTACGTAAGACCACACAATGACGGCATTCAAGAGAAAGAAAAGACAGAAGGATGCAGAATTGTTTTAAAAATAGGACTTCATGAAAGCTAATTTCATCAAGCCCAGGTCACTGATGAGAAAGATGCAAAATCAAGAAACCAGTGAAATAACACTTAACGGGTGAGTCCAACACTGCCAGCGGCACCAAGCCATGGAAGTGAAATGGCACCATCTAGCCCGCCTGATGAAATCCAAAGAGAGAACTGAAAGAGAGTAAGGATGATTCACAAAATGAGGTTGAGTCACAAGAAAAGTGATTCTGGAAGGACAGCGGAGAGAAAAAAAAATTAATAAGGAAACCACCAAAATGTTAACTCAAAGATACATTTTAAACTGCATGGGATGACCCACTGTCAATACCTTGGCTTCCTGAGAACAAAAAGAGGGGGTCTCCAGATCCCCCAAACCCCACTATATACCAGAAGGACAAGGAGGAAAGGAAGAAACCCCCTTTGCCTGCTAGGACGCACGTGAGGGAGGAAGGCAAACCCCCAGCAGCTGCTTTGACCTATCACCAGCCCCAGCAGGAGGCCCCTCGCTGCCCACTCACATTCCCCAGGACTGGCTGCTCCACGAATCCTCTGGGCACCTGTGCCCAACGTAGTTCCTTAGCAGGCCCCACCGGAACATTGAAAAATTAGCATTAACACGTGTTTACTGTGTACACTGTGCCATGTGGAACTCATGCACGAGGCTTGGTGGATCCCTCCTGACAAAACAATCTTGAGGTAGATACGGTCATTATCCCCATTTTAGGGTTGATGGAAACCAAGGCTCAGTGAGGGAAGGTCACCTGCCCGACGCTGCCCACTGAGTGGGCAGCAGGCTGAGCCTCTCCATTCAGAGCGAGCGTCTTCCTTCCCCAATGGAGAAAGACTTTCCATCGCAAGCTTAAATCACTCAGCAGGAAACAGGCCCGGCTCTGTCTTCTCAGTGAGGCCGTTTCTAACATGAGCGCTCATCTCCATCTCAGTATCAAAGGGTCTGTTGCTTCTGGCACAAGGGCCAGGCCAACAGGGCTGGAGGCACTCCGGACATCATAATACCTGCCTGTTTTTCTGTGGGTCTAGAAGCCAGCGGGAATGGTCTTACCATTTTGTGGCCAAAGCCTTAAAGGGTCAGGCAAGTGGGTTGGAAGCCACCTAGTAGGAAGAGCAGTCCCTGCATTCCACGGCCAGGCCCAGGGAGGGGAGCCTGCAGGCCACAGCACAGCCACTCCCAAGTAGGCCTCATCTTCCCCTCTGACAGAGAGAGAACTCAGCTGCTGACAGAAAAATCAAACCCAAACCCGGGGTCGGAGGTAGAGGGTGTGTTTCCCGACTCTCCTTCAAATGGAAGACATCCTGCACTGAAACTAGCTGACTTCCTTCCAGGCTGCGATCCCTGTAAGCCGAAATCAGCCTCAAGCAAACCACTTTGGAAGAGCACGGGCTCCTAGGCCCTTGTTTATCCTTTGAATTGCATTTGAATCCTCACTCACCTGCAACAGACACAGATTAAGGCTGCTTAATCACCACGTGGAAAAACAGGTGGGCAAGCACAGCTTTCAGCGGGAGGCAGAAGCCTGGTTTCTAGCCCCAGATCTCCTGCACACCTTGGCATGCTGCCTATGCCCTAACTCGCTTTGCCTTGGTTTCCTCACCTCCAACTAGGGAAAAGCAGCCTGTCCTCAGTTTGCTCCCCAAAGGGTTGTATAAAAAGAGACGAGGCGGCAAAGCTCTCTGAATTCCTAAGCAGCAACGTTGCCACCATCCCGTGGCGCTCAATGTTCTTTTCCCCCGACCTTGCCCCCAAGGGCCTAGGAGCACAGACAGTTACACAGCATCCCTCAAGGCCTGGAACAGGAGGAGCTTTGCATTCCAGTGGATGTTGCTGATGCCCTCCATAGAGGTGATCCTGACAGAACCAGAGGAAAAGAAAATATTCCTCTCTAGCAGCCAGAGGGCCCTTCCATCTTGCCTGTTCTCCCAAAGTACCTAGCAACACTGCCCCTTCCTCAGAAAGGCTCTGGATCAATGATTCTGGAAACCACCTAAGTCTTAAAAGACAGTTTTAAAACACCAGGAGGAAAATGCTCCTGTTCCCCACGGCCCTGCTTTCTAAATGTATTCCTGTTCAGCAACCCCGAGGGGAGGTTCATCCCTGGGAGCTCTGCAGAAGGTCCCCATCCCATAACATCTTGAAAATAGAGGGGAGTACTCATATATGTGACCTTAGTGATCTCACAAGTGCATCAGAAAAAGCAACTGGCCAAGGAAACGGTTGAACCAGCCTGAAAATGCCAGGCAGGCCCCACCGTAAGTCACTGTTTGAGTCAGGCTTGTGACTGAGCGCGTGTGGGCAAGGCTGGGTGGACCAGGCTGGAGGAGAAAAGCAGGCAAACCACTCTTGAAGCAGGACAGAAGGTTGAGGGCGAGGGCGAGGGCAGGGCAGAGGCGCGCAGGGCCAGGCCGGTTCAGGGAGCCCGCTGCAGGATGAGCTCTGTGATCTCCGCCCTGCTACCCAACCTCATGGGTATCCCATAGTAGGCTGTGCCTGGGCTGACATATACGAACGTGGCCTGGGCCACTTGGTAGAGACCAGCAAAGAAGGGATTCAGGAGATAGGCTGCTACGTTCAAGGGGAAGATCTGCCCAGCATGTGTGTGCCCAGAAAGGATGAGGTTAATATCTGGCCGAGCCTGGAGGGCTCTCTTGGCAGCCAGAGGCTGGTGAGCTAGCAAGATGATGGTGTGGTCCGGGCTGCAGCCCTCCAGGGCCTTGTCGAGATCCATGCCATGGCCAGAGTAGTGCAGGATGTCTGCTTCAATATCATCCACCCCAGCCAGGCAGATCCAGTCCTCGTCCTCACTCCCACCGCCACTGCCACCACCAACACGCCGGGCCCGGGTGGCGGAAATCTTCACGTTCTCATTATGAAGAGGCCGGACGTGCAGGGACTCCAGCAGTGCAAACCAGTTGCTGACATCCGACGTGTAGTACTCATGATTGCCTGTGACGAAGTAGGCGCCGAGACGTGACTGAAGCTGCTCCAGAGGAGCGACTGCCGTCCGCAGGACTGAGGCTTCCGAGTCGGAGAGGTCACCCACGATCACTGTGATGTCCGGTTCCAGCACATTCACCATCCTCACAAACATCTCCATCTTGGTCCTGCCCACTGTGGGGCCCAAGTGAATGTCTGAGAGGAGCGCAATCTTGAGGTTGTTCACCGAGGCGGGCAGCTGATGGACGGGCACCTCCACAGTCTTCACCGCCGGGGGCTGTGCGGCATTCAGAATCCCTGCCACGCTGAGCACAGCTGTCACTCCCACTGCCAAGGCAGGCCTGAGCGCCAGCTTCCTTGTCTTGTCAAGGCTGCCCACAACCCTACCACTGCGCCAGGCCAAGAGCTGGCAGGCCTGCTCCATGCTGCTGAGGATGCAGAGGAAGAAGAGCATGATGATGTAGGCGCCCAGGCAGGAGTAGGCTGCCAAGGAAAAGAGATAAGGCTCCTCGGCCACTAAAAAGAACGTGGTGAAGAAACTGGAATGGGCCAGGGCCAGAAATGCCAGAACCACCACCTTCCAAAGCTGAAAACAGGTTGACTCCGCCGCCGGGGAGTGGCAGAGGTTGCTGACCGTGCTGCGCCAAATGTAGAGGGAGCCAATGAGCATGAGCGAGTTGACAAACAGGGCAAGCTGCAAGCGAAGCAGCCAACGCCGGGCCCTGAGCTCCAGGCTCTCTGCCAGAAAAGAGCGGGAGGCGATCATGGACACGAAGACAGTGACGGCAGCCAGGGTGGCCTTCGCGCCTAGGGACAGCTGCCTGAAGATGGCCATTTTCTCTGCTCCTAGAGGCTCCCCCACCAGTTCGTGCAGGTGGACTGTGGAAATGAGTTCCTTAGAAAGGACAGTGGCCAAGGAGAGGTTTCCAGGTCAACTCCGCCTGCAACCAGGAACCAGCATCAGCTTTGTGGGATATTAGAGTGTCCTTGTACCCATTCAAAACTCAAAGGTCACTTACATCTGCCCAACCCACCTGGGGAATCCAAGCCACTCAAATACTAGTCAGTTGCTAGCTATACTTAATTATTCAAAAAGAAACTCACAGGATTGTGACATGATGGGCAGTTTTCATTTTCTTACCCCATTTTATATACGTTTAAAGTTTCTCTCCAGTGAGCATGAACTTGTTTTATAAAAACACAATCAGCAGAATTCAAAGTGTGGTCTGGAGACAGCCCTTCAGGGGTCCATTTAGTCAAAACTATTTTTATTATAGTTCTAAGCCATTACTGCCTTTCCCACTCTCACTCTGTCCTGAGGGTGGAGTTTTCCAGAGGCTATGTGACATGTGATATGGCCACAGATTGAATGCAGAAATAAACATGAAAATCCCAGTTTTCTATTAAGAGACATTGAAAGAGATTTGCAGAAATGTAAAACAGTACAACTCTGCACCCTAAAATCTGGGGAGAAATACTGTTGTTTTTCAAATATATTTATTGTTTGTTCATGTGTAATGATATATTATTTATTAACAAATAGTTTTACATGTTCTTTAGGGCTGGGAGCGCTGGCTCACACCTGTAATCCCAGAACTTTGGGAGGCTGAGGCAGGCAGATCACCTGAGGTCAGGAGTTCAAGACCAGCCTGGCCAACATGGTAAAACCCTGACTCTACTAAAAATTCAAAAATTAGCCAGGACTGGTGGCGGGTACCTATAATCCCAGCTACTCAGGAGGCTGAGGTAGGAGAATCACTTGAATCTGGGAGGTGGAAGTTAAAGAGCCAGATTCTATCTTAAAAAGAAAAGAAAAGAAATAAAATATTTTCTTAATTTCTAGGACAGCTAAAATTTGAGAACCACTGTTCTAAAGAAATGTAAACAAGGAGATAATGAAAAGTCAGACTGCAGGTATCTTTCTTCAGCTGTGGGCACAGGAGCTCAACAGGGACACCTAGGCACCTGACATGAGAATTCCTAGGGTGATGCCCGCCTCCCTGTGTGGGCTTCAGGTATTCAGCCACAGGGCATCCACCCGGACGCAGTAACGCTGCACGAGACTAATGAACTCACATCACACAGATGGATGCTGTCCACCTGCTCCTTGTTCACAAATCCTTCTCTCCCCACCCCCACCCCCACCCCCACCCCCAGATACTGGTTAAGATCTGCCTTCCCCCAGCCCCTTACCTGCACCACTGTTCTCCTGAACCGTTCCCCAGTTCCACCTTATCCAGTGGTTTTCACAGTTGGCTATGTCTGACTCCTACGGTCCTACGGGCCTTCTGGACAAGAAAACTGTCTACAAACTGGGATAGAGGAACCACAAACGGGTGAAGAGGGAGCAGCAAATACTCAATCTGTGCCAACTTTTCCCAAAAATGAAAACATTTTCAGCAGCTGTTTTCCAAATAGTTCAATCTTGGTTGTAGGTAAATGTACCACTTTTCCCACCCCTACACGCGTTATTGAGAGCCTTGATAAAGGGTGTAACTTACAAGTCGACGGTGTCAAATGCCACCAGCTCTTAAAGTGTGCTGAAGGCTCAGCCCACCTATACCCTGGAGGAACCAAAGTTGGTCCGCGGAACGTGCAGAGCAGCAGCTTGCAACCACCTGCCCTCCCTTCCGCAGGTGTAACGCAGACCTCCCCAGGCGGCGCTTCGGAGCCTCTCAGGCCGTCGCCGCGGCTCGGACACAGCGAGCGACGCTGTCCTTCCTCTCCCACCAAACGTGCACGCCCCGCACCTCACCTCCTCGCCTCGCCAGACCTCCCCCCATCCACGCGGGCATCCCCCAGCAGCCTACCTCTTCCCCCTCTCCCCGACCGTAACCTGGCCCGCCAAACGCCGAAGGAAAAGGGTCCCACAAAGAAAAACCCAAGCCAAAGAGCAGGCGGCGGGGAGTGGCGAGAAGGGAACAAGACGTACGAAGAGGAAGAGCACCCAGAGGGAAAATAACGCCGAGCTCCCACTGCAGGGGCCTCTCCTGACCCCGTTTTTCTCCTTCCGGAGCGCTCCGCAGAGCACGGACTGGGACACGGAGGGCGACCCAAGCCAGAGCCCGAGGCGCCCTCTAACCCGCGCTACTTGGAATTCCCTCCCGGAATACCAACTTAGGAAACGTTCAGGCGCACCTCGTCTCACCCACCTTGTTACAGAAGGGGAAGTGGGTCCAAGCGCAAAGCGCGGCCGGAGCGGAACGCACGAGCGACCGAGCTGCCGCGAAGGACGCGCGCCCCGCCTGGCCCGCCCCCGACGGGAAGGCCGGTCCACTGCCTGCGCTCCGCCAGCCGCCGGCCTGCTGGGGGCACTTCGGGGCTCAGGCTCCCCGCCCTGCGGGACCCCGGGCGGCCGCGGCCCCAGCCCGGTTCCCCGCCAGACTGTCCCCTCGCAGTGCCTCCCCGCACCCGGGTCCCGCACACTTACGCGCAAGCCGCGCGCAGGGCGCAGAAGCAGCAGCGCCAGCAGCAGAGAGAAGATACGAACCAGGAACCCCGACATGACCACCAGCCTCCCGGCTCTGCAGTCGGCGCCCAGGCCAGCCGCTCCGCGTCACCTGACTAAGGACCCGCGGCCTGGCACCGCCCCTCGTCGGCCCAGCAGCCAGCCTACGCCCCTGCTCCGCCCCGCGCTCCGCCCCACGGTGGCCGAGCCGGGCGGGTGGGGGAGGCGAGGAGGCTGCGCCGGCGCGTGACTGCAGGATAGTGCTATCGGGGTTTTGCAGGCGTCTTCTCAGGAAAAGGACCCTTTGGAACAGCAATCGGGAGGCCCTGCTTTCAGCAGCTTGATAACGCGCCTCGGGGATTGGACATTAATCGTGGTCTCCTTGTTCCCTGGCCGCCTTGAGAGAGCCGAAGAGGGAAATTGTTAATCACTAAACCTGAATGCCTTAGATCGAATCCGTGTCTCATATACAGGGCTCTCCTAAAAACTAAACGGGGGGTTAGCACAGTGAGATCGGTCCCTGGAACCACTGTATTTGGAATTTGTTAGAATGCAAATTCTGGGCCCAGCGCGGTGACTTATGCCTGTAATCCTAGCACTTTGGGAGGCCGAGGCAGGCGGATCACCTGAGGTCAGGAGTTCCAGACTAGCCTGGTCAACATGGGGAAACCTTGTCTCTACTAAAAATACAAACATTAGATGGGCTTGGTGGCGCTTGCCTGTAATCCCAGCTACTCGGGAGGTTGAGAAAGGAGAATCGCTTGAAGCTGGGAGGTGGAGGTTGTAGTGAGGCGAGATCGCACCACTGCACTCCAGCCTGGGCAACACAGCAAGACTGTCTTAAAAAAAAAAAAAAAAAAAAAAAAAAAGGCATATTCTGGGGCCCAGAAACTGAATCAGAAGCTCTAGGGTTGGAGACCAGATATCTGTTTGGTTTTGCTTGTTGTTGAAGCTGGAGTGTAGACCAGCCCATAACCAGTATTGAGTGTTATAGTCATCTCTCCCACCGTTTGAGAACCAAACTAAGAAGAGCCACAAGTTGCAGCAATACTGTTAAAGAAAAAAACTGTTCTGTGCTTACTGCATGACACTGGTCTCAGGGTCACACTTTGAGAAGTACTGGTCTATATTAGAGCATGTACCAAGTTTAGAGATGAGTGCCTGCAGGCCCACAGCCTTCTCTTTTGTTTTTTTGAGATGAAGTCTCACTCTGTCACCCAGGCTGGAGTCCAGTGGTGCGATGTCAGCTCAATGCAACCTCTGCCTCCCTGGTTCAAGCGATTCTCCTGCCTCAGCCTCGTGAGTAGCTGGGACTACAGGCGTGCGCCAGCATGCCCAGCTAATTTTTGTATTTTAGTAGAGACAGGGTTTCACCACGTTGGCCAGGATGGTCTTGATGTCTTGACCTTGTGCTCTGCCTGCCTCGGCCTCCCAAAGTGCTGGGATTATAGGCATGAACCACGGCGCCTGGCCAGGGTGACTGCCTTCTCGTGGTTCCTACATATTTTCCAGTATGCAGGGGACTTTGCATCCCGGCACACGTTATCTGTGCATTTAAACAGGAACTAAACAGTACACAATGGGCAGAAGTATAGCCTTGTGAAAACAACTCAGGCCCTAACGTCAGGCAACATAACTTTAGAGACTCTACTGCTTCCCAGATCTGTGGCTACTGGCAAGTCATTTCACTCCTCTGTCTCAGCTTTCTGGTCTGTGAAATGTGGATAACAGCATGCAACTCGGATTGTGAGGAATAGGGACACTGGGAAGGCATTCAGCACAACAATGGCTATTGTTACTATTGCTATTTAAACTACAATAAAAAGTTGAGTACTAAAAATCTCAGAAATAAACTACAATCTATATTCCTTTGGCAAGATTATACTGTGAAGGGCTAGAAAATAAATATACTCGGTTTTGTAGGTCCTAAGATTGCAACTACTCCACTCTACCATTGTAGCGTGGAAGCAGCCATGTGCAATATGAAGAGAATGGTAGGTGGCATGTGCCTGTAGTCCCAGCTACTCAGGAGGCCGAGGTTTAACTGCTTGAACCCAAGAGGCGGAGGTTGCAGTGAGCCAAGTCGTGCCACTACATTCCAGTCTAGGCGACAAAATGAAATTCTGTCTCAAAAAAAAAAAAATTACTAGAAAAATGAAATAAAAAATAGATGTATAATAATTTTTTTCTTTATTAGATTCGACAGATAGATTTACTTGCAAATTGCTCCAAGTTTCTAAGTGCTCTCACGTCTAATCTACCACCAAGGCCTGTCATTTCTTCTTCACACGGACCCCGGAGCCAGCCCACTCTCTGCTTTTGTAGCCACACCTTAGTTGTGGTTCCCTCCTTCTCTAAATGATCATAGTTTTTCTACCTAGATTGAA